GTGAATGAGCCTAGGAAAATTCCATGTAGGAAGAAGGACATACTGAAGGACATCAGTGCCATCCAGTGCCAGGGCAAAGCAGCTTACTTTCTCTTTGGCACCGCATTTCGAGCGTATGTATGTATATTTGCAGGCAGCATGTTACATACATACAAGCTAGCAATAAATCAGATTTTACAAAATTATTTTCGGACATTGTTACGGGCAACGCTGCTGTTGCTCAGGCCGCTCTAGTTGTAAAACAAATGGTATATACATATTCATGTCTGGTCCATTTACTGTCGTCTATAGGTGTGTGTGTGGACTATGAACGCATCAACGGTGAATCAGATGCCCCTTAAATTTTGTTTGATCTTTTTTATGTAAGTATTTAATTTTTGTCCGCGGAAGCTGCTATAAATTGATTAAACTTTCCAAAAGGTACGCAAAGAGGTAATAAAAGGTTTACATACTTGGTATATATCGATAGCTGAGTGGAAGTTCGCCTTATCGCGACAGCCAGTACGAAAATGTCCTATCTAATAAAATTTTTCAACAACGCTTTATTTCACAATTTTGTTGATGATCGGTCTATGCACGATCCATAAATCGTTCGATCCCTGCTGTTGTCCAGAAAATAAGTCAGATGATGAGATGTGGTGATCTCCGAAATAGCAGCTATAACTTCTACCGCTAAGACTTTGTTGATTTTTCCATTTTTCCCAATAAATATTAATCTCAATAACAATATTGAAATAAATGCCCAAAAATGATATTGACAAAAAATAATAATTTTTGAATATTTAATTAAATATATATACTGACCGGGATTTTTTCAGCCTCTCCATTTGCGAAATATTTACCAACACTGCAGATTTCATACAAAATAGATTTCATCCATTAAACAGCTGGGTGAAGGTCGTATCCTACTCAAATCTTTTTTTAGATATTATTGTCTGGATGAGTCAATATGTTTTATTCATTGACCACACAATTTGGAGAAGGTTGGCTCTTGCTTTGAATTAAAATTTCTACAAAACGGCTGCCAAACGACGAAGATTTAAAAAAACCTGATACTTTTTTTCTGCAGGGTATGTACACTTACATATACATACATACTCAGATGTGAATATTCAAATAGGTGCGTGATACATTTTTTTTATGAAAATATTTTTTTAAATACGAACATTTTTAAACGATAATCAAATATAAATTATTCATTTTTATTATGCATGATTTCCCTCAGTGTATGCGACAGGCACATTTTCTAAAATAATTTTTACCAATAAAAATATTTTTAAATATGAGTATGTATGTATATTATAAATAAAACCTACAAAATGTAAGTTTTGTATGCTGAAATGGCCGATTTAGTTGAAATTTTACACATTGACTTTATTCTGGAACTTCGAGACAATAAGCAACTTTTTTTTTTTTTAATTAATTATTATTACCCCCTTTCCTTAACGAAAAATTCTTCCTAATATTTTCCTTAGAGAAGTAAATCTCAGAAAGTTCTACTCACACTCAATATCAACTCATTCATCTTCTGCCGTGCCTAAGGCATTTTTCAATTTGCATGGCTTCAACGTTTTACTTTGTCAAGCTAACGGAGAAAAATGTCAGCCCTATTACGGTCAACTCAGGTTGCTAGCAGGGGCAAAGATTGCATTGTATTTGCTTCATTTTCACTCCATGCAACGGCTTGAGAAAACTACAAATCCTTAACACTGCACTAACACAAATGGGTATGTTTTGACACAATCACTATAGAAAACACACAACCCCACATGCGTAATGCAGTGATAGCCACACAGGCATATTGTTTACCAATACAGCGATATAATGCCGCACTTAGCACACTAAATCACTGTCAGCCATAAACTGGTTCAAAAATGTCAATGAAGTCAATATGTCATACACTTTGCCACGTCCGTAAAGCTAAGCAAAGCAGGGAAGGCAAATTTAGCTTTTATTTCACAGCTTGTTCGCGCGCGCACACACACACACGCACAAACAAGCTTATGCGAGGCTATGGCAAGTGACAAAGTGAGCTGGAGACGGACAAAATGTTACCCGTCTGGCTGCCTGAGCTGAGGTTGGTAAACGACAAACAACCACAGCCAGCAGACCGAAAATGCAAGACAAATAGCTGAGAAAAAGTGGGCCAGAGAATAGAGGTCAAAGGGGAGGCAAAGTGAAAAATACTGGTAACAGCTCTCTGCCAGCGGCAGCATTCACTGCAACAACAATAAATAAAGCAGCTGCCAAATTGTAATTAATGTGAGTCGGAATAGCAAGCAACTCAAAGGCAAACACCCACACAGCCCTGCATATATGCACACACCCAAACATGCACTCGATCACATGCATCACTTATGAAATGTTATTGAAATATGTAGCAGCAGCTGCTGGCACTTCGTAGTACATACATATGTACATATATACCCAGCGTTGCGATATGAAGAAGATGAACGCTCACATGAGCCAGCTGTTGAGGGCAACTGATTTTCTAATATTTTTTCCATGCATTGCTTTCAGAGGTGATGAAGTGCAGTAAAGTGGCGCTGCAATATTTTTCGCACACACACATACCGCCACCCGCAAATGCGGTTCTAAATACTTACTACATGCATGCAATCAGAGGCGAAAATTCACAGCCAACTAAATGGCTTGCCATCAGCCCTGCACTATTTTCCCCCATTTTCGTGCTATTTTACCTGTTTTGTGCCCGAATCAAGTGCTGCCAACAGTCTCAAGTCACTGCATCGATTGTGGCATACCACATGGAGTAGAGCTCTGCTGCTTGCTTTTGCACTCTTGCCACCTGCATTTCCATTCGATTTATTTGCATTCATTCCATGTCAACGAAGCGATAAGCTGTCGGTCGTCCTGTTCAAAGAGCTGCAAGCGTGTCTACTACCCATATATGTATGTATATGTATGTTTGCATATATATGTGTACGTATGCACTTCTGCGCAAGGAGAGTCGTGTGAGAGGGAGTTGACGGAAATGGAAGAGGCGTGACATTCGTGCTGAGCATGACATTTTAGCAGCTGGCCCCTGGTGCTGTGTGTGTTGACCATTTCACAGTACTTATGTGCATCTATCGCTGCTCTACCAAACTATATGCCATATGTATGTTTGTATATACGTACATCAGCGTGCGCATTGGTCTGTGCAGTTTATGCACATGTGCGACCTTTTGACTTGTTGGCGACTTTATTCAGAGTTGATGGCATTTATTTGCTTATTTCTTTTCTTCATTTCCGCATTCAAATGAAGCTGCTAGCATTCTGGTTATCTGTTCTGCATTATTTTCCACTGTCGTCTAAGTAACATCGTGTCATACTTAATTCCCAAATGCACCGGTGATATTTGACTTCATTTTACATATCGTTAATTTCGACTAGCACATGCTCATACATCTGTGTGTCTCTTTTGTTTTTGAATGCAAGAACAGGTATATATGCGAGCTGGAAATTCTTTTTGTCTCGATTTTTCGATGTACATAAGTAAAATGCGAATGATAAACACAAATATTAATTCGATGTATGAGTTCAGACTTCAGGCACAAGAAAATGAAAAATATTCCTTAACGCGATTAGTTGGAAATTATAAGAAACGATTGTCTTGCTGGCTGGTGTATTTCACTTGCTTACCCGGATTTTATGGACTGTGAAAATGTGTTCAATTGGGGGTTTCCCTGGACTGAAGCAACGCCGATAAGGAACAATCAGTTGGGTTATCAAGAACTCTAGTCTCTGACATTCTAAATTCCAAAGGAAGTTAAAAACAATATTGAGGAGGCATATCACGCGTTAATTGGCAAAAGAGCAGCAACTGGCTTTGTGTAGACTGGACAAATACACAATGAAGTTCCAATCTTCGGCACAACAAATTGCGCTCAGCAGTCATTAAATACATGCGGACGAATAGCTCTTCGCCGCCGGCTTTGAATAACTTAGATGCTGTACTGTCTGGCAAGGTGGTTTTGTTGTTTTTGTGCCTTGTGATTCCTTTTTACACAGTTTAGAGTTCAGTCAAACATTTTTTTTTGCGATACCGAAGGAGAGTACATATATTTTCCTGAAATATGTATAGGTTCTTATATTATAAAAGCTAACTTGTTTAGGGCCGTACTATCAAGTAACTTTTAAAATCTATCTGCCCTTTAAACACTAATTTTGTTCTGAAAAAAAGTTATCTGAATGAAAGATGAATTTTAAAACCTACAGTGATAAATAAAAGAGTTTAGTTACGTGGACTAAGTATGTTTCTCTCAATACATAATTTGGTTATAGTTACAACATAATAATAGTTACCGAATCATGTGTTGAGAAAAATATATTTAGCGGACTTTTTTCTAAGTGTACTTGTAAGGGGGAAAATAACATTTGAAGGAATAATACTTATTTAAATAAATATTTGACAAGAAGCGAAATTATTTGAAGAAATATAAAAGAAAAAAAGCATAACACATGTTTTTTTGTACACTCATCTGTCAGTTTTACCAAAACAAACAAAACCGATCATGAATTTAACCAGATCTACATATATCAGAATTCTATAGGCTTTTGTGCCAAAATTTTATCCGGATCCCAATCATTGGCCACCGGTAACAACACTGAATAATGTGCTTATTTTGCACCGATCAGTAGCGTAACTAGGCGCCCCAGCCTGTTTATTCTCCACACATACTGAAATTTATTACAACTTGTTCTATTTTATTCTAAAAAAAAGTGTTTTGAAAGGCAGATAAATTTTAAAAACTACTTAAGAAAACGACGCTTAAAGTTAGAAATTTATAATACCTTCTTCTTTTAAGACACAACTTTATAGTATTGCAAAAAATAATTGTTATAATATAATAATAAAGTTATTACAAAGAAAAGCTCTAATATTTTCATATACTATGTATTTGCATATGTACGATTGTTTATATACATAGATGTAGATAATGTTCACTTATCTCAACAAATGAACTAATTTAACTTTTTATTTGCTTTCGCTTTTATAGAGTGGCGCTGGCAAATCAACAGCACGTATTGGCGACGGTCCAATTTTGACACTGGAGAAACTCGAACGTCAACAGGCTGGAGTCTATCAATGCACCGCAGACAATGGAGTTGGCGAACCGGTTACAGTCGATATGCGCTTAGATGTTTTATGTAAGTAGAAATAATATGCAAATGGGGAAGTTTAGTTTTTTAAATTGCTAAGTAAATTATATGCGAGAACTGGAAATAAAGGCCCGTACGCAGTTTGCAAGAAAAATCACAAGAAATGTTTTTCATTAATTCTGTTAAACAGCTCTCGTAGAGACCAATAGTTTTAGAGTCCTGAAAAGAAAATAAAAAGTTCTGCAATCGCAAAAAAAAAATAAATAAATTTCAAAAAAGTCGAAAAAGTGCAATGTTTGAAAATATTAAAAACTAAATCGTTCTGAGTAGTTTTAAAATAGTTCTAGAGCTCGTGGGATGGAAAAAGAAAGATATCTGCAAAATTACGCCGAAAAAAACAGTTTTTTCAAATAAGTCGAAAAAGTAAGATTTTTGAAAAAAAAAACAGAAATTAAAACTGTTCTGAGTTTTTCAATAGTTCTAGAATCCTTGAGAATGAAGAAGAAAGTTTTGCAAAATTGCGCCCAGAAAAAATTTTTTTTCGAAAAAGTCGAAGTTAGATTTTTGAAAAAAAAAAAAATAAAATTAAAACTGTCCTTAGTAGCTTTATTTGCGTTTTTGCCACATGTCATTGCATTTCGTTGGCTTCTTTGTATGTATGTTTGTAGAAAAATCGGTAACACCATCGATGTTTTAATTTGATACATCGAAACTACCATCAATGTAATTTTTCGAAACATCGATTCTTCGAGCATCGAAAATCCTGGCCTGGTTATCAGGCGAGTACAACCATATTGTTATTTACATCCCAAATTTCAGTAAATTTGTTGCTCATACGCCCCACACCACCAATATGCCTAAGAGTAATATGTACATACATACGTATGTACAATGTCTTCTCCTACGCTGTTTGAGCTCACACAATTCGCTTCGAATTTTCACATATAATTATATCCCTAAATACCTCAAGAAATACTCAAAATATTCATAACAAGATTCCATACAATGCTAGGGAAAGACGAGCAAATCTTATCTTCACTGCCAAAGTCCTAGCCACAATTCAATTGAGTCGTCATACTCTCAGTAAAGTTGCTTTCTTTGCATTATTTTTCTTGCGGGCATTTTTTCATTTATCATACATGTGTTGAAAGCTTCCAAAATGCACTTTTTCTTTCGCCATTTCCACTTCACGTATGTACTCCTACAACTTTCGAAAATGATTATGCGCTTCAAAAGATAAATGTATACATAAATTAAAGGCAAAAAATACTACGCAAGCAAGACGAAAACAATAAAAAGTAAAAATGTCCATATGAGTATATATCCTTCATGTAGGAGCCCCATCGCCCCCCCGTTCGTAACAACTGCGTAGCTTCAAAAGATTCACTGCTAAGCAAATGTTGCAACGTCTGTGATAAAAAAAAAAAGTGTTGAGTGTGGCGAATACAAAAAACAGCGAAAAATTTTAAGTGGCAGCATTGCGCGCGATATGCAAATAACTTTAAGACAGCCACGAAAAAGAAAAAGAAAATAATATCTAGCCGCACAGAAATGTGAAAAAGCCAGCAAGTCGTACAGGAGTTGAATGAAGACAAGAAAAACAGCGTATAATAGCTAGAAAAAACAGCATGAAAATGTATGTAGCATTGAACATGTGTATGTGCATATTTGTAGTAAGTACATGCATATGCATGTGTAGCTTCACTCCGCCACCTCTGCCACTCTTGCTCTGTCTATTGCCCGCTTGTGCCGACACTCTTGCGACTTGGCGAACAATTCGTTACGCTGCATGCCTCATTCAAATTGAAAAGTGGAAACTTATATTTGATAAATCAGTTGGAAATTTCATGAATTTTCGCATGCGAGCAATGTGAGTTTTCCTACGTAATGTTGCATTTTTCTTATTGCAACGAACTATGTATTTCGCTATTTTTTCCCCCTTCCAATTCTTTGGTAACAAGTGCGGAAGTGTGTGTGAAATACGAGCAAGTTTTGAGTTTTTCATCAACTGCTCGCTGCAATTTCCACACGTAACGAGTCTCTGGAGTGCAGATAAATGATTCTGTTTTTATAATTTATTTTCTCAATGTCTTTTTCTTTACCGAATAGTGCATCGTATGCACGTGCTATCCGCTTAGTTTGGGGCATATGTCGAAAGATTGTGGCAATTACAAAATTTCTTTATTGCAGACTCAATTACGAGTATATATTTAGTTTATGCTTAATGCGAAATCTTTTGCCATTTGTTTAATTCCGTATTCTTTTCTTTTGTTATGCAGATCCGCCAGATATACAAGTGGAAAAGTCTTGGATACACTCAGGCGAAGGTTTCGAAGCTAAGCTGGTTTGCATTGTCTACGCTGATCCAGTGGCTACGGTGAGTTTGATTATTAGAATGATACTTTCTTAGTGCTTTCCTAGGCATTGCACAATTTTTGCTTCTTATTTGATAAGGAGATTTTTTAACTCTTACACAACACTCGTATCATTTTTTGAAAAAAAAGACTATATAATACTGCAAAAGAATTTCGTCTCGAGTATCTCCACTGAAAAAAAAAAACATTTTTTACAGCAAAGTATTTGTTGAATTTCAGAGGTCTTTCCCAATTCTGACGGAGCTGATGGTATTGCTCAACGTCATTTTACACAGCCGTATCAGTTTCGAGAGGATGCCAAGCAACTACTTTTAATGCAATCGAAAGCGGCTTTAAAGTCGACAAATAGGTGGTGAGTTTCGATCATTTTCTCGCGGCCACACGCACAAGGCCCAATAAGTTCGTTGACGGCGGGCTTCAGTTTTTCACACATTAAGTTCGATAATACCTCCTCCTCAATTATACTTTTTTAATCGCTTATTTTTTACTTTGTAAGTATATATAACTTGCGAATCCGCATGGCGTTAAAACGCCCAGAATTGAATTTTAAGACCTAAAAAATATTTCAAATATTTTGTCAGAGTAATAAACGATTCGAGTGTCATATTTCATCTAAATCTGTGCAGCCGTTTCTGAGTGAAAAGAGGTCTCGCATAGTCGGTTCTTAATATCATAAAATTTTAAACCCATCGATAGATAAAAGTTTCTAACTTCAAAAAATTAAAACCTTATCGCCCATCTATAGGCAAATGTCTTTATTTTGACCCCTCATACTTCGGAAATAAACAAGCAGGACCTGCAAATTTACTTCCGAATGAACTTCTACAAAGCTCAATTCGTGTTTGAAGCGAATTTGATTGATATGATTCACTCGGAAGTGAATTGCATAACCTGCCTGAAAGCCTTCGCAAATCCAATTCGATTGACTCTCATATTTTAATAATTCATTTAACTTTTTAAATAATTTGAATTTTAAACACGCGGAAACCCTCTTCAAACTACTAAAAAATATTTGTAGTGTTCAAACTAAAGATTTTTTAACACTCTTTCGTTGGACACCAATATTTTAATATTCCAACAGATACCAACCCTTTTCAAAATATTTTCAATTTATTTCGTCTCACACCAAAATTTATATCCATATTTCAAATAGGTAATTGCCTTAATTTAAGCTGAGTTGGATTTTTTAAACATGTGGAAACCCTGTTAAATATATTTTAGAAATAAAGCCTTTTGAAACTCGTTTTGATGATGCCCATCTTTTAATAATTCATCCAACTTTTTAAATAATTTTAATGTGACCTTATAAACACGTGGCAAACCCCTTCAAGTATTCTAAATGTTAAAACTGAAGTTTTCTTCACGCCCTTTCGCTTGACACCAGAGTGTTCATATTTCAAATAACTTGCGTAAAAGTAAATTAAATTCGACTTTTTTAACATGTGGCAACTCTCTTAAATAGTATTTTCGAGCTAAGATATTCTTAAATATTCTCCATATGACATTGCGATTGATCAACTGATGAATTAAGTTGAAGTCGATTTTTAAACATGTGGCAACCCGGCTAAATATAGTTAAAAAAAAATGTTGTTCAAACTCCCTACGATTAAAACCCCTTGTTTAATAATTTATTTATTCTATTAAACAATTTTGAATTCAACCTTTTAAACAGATGGCAACCCTCGTCTAACACCTCAAAAATATTCTTAGTATTCAAACTAAAGATTTCCTAACATTCTTTCGTTTTACATCCAAATCTTGAAATTTCTTATAACTTGTGTATAAGTTAACTAAATTTTATATTTCAAGCAGTTGGAAACCCTCTTCAAAATATTTTCAAACTACTATCGTCTGAAATCCTTTCGTTTGACACCCACATTTGAAAGTCCGATATTTTGCACCCAGTAGGACTCGAATATTTTTTTCATAATTATAAATGATACAAATCCACTCGGTGGTCTCAGATTTTCCACTTCCTATACCTTTCCTTAAAACTTTAAATGGAGGACAAGAATTGTCAAATACAGAAACCAGCTGCTACACTTCTCCTAAAACACTAATCTATTCCACAAATCTATGTGTATACATACATACATGGATATGTATATGTACATATGTATGCGAGTGGTTGTGTAAGCGTGCTTTGATATATTTTTTATGCTTTTACTAAATTTTTTTCTTTGTTTCTTTCTCTTATTACGCTGCAGGTGTCTTGGTATCAAAACTCATTTCCGATACAAACGACCGATAGGCGAATTATGGCAACAAGAGGAAATCGCCACACGCTCACCATACGCCACATACAACAGGAGGACTTTGGCAACTATAGGTGAGTGATGATAGACATAAAAAAATAAGAAAAGAAAATGCCTCCATAAATAAATATAGAAACAAAAAAAAAACAAAAAAATAAAATAAAGCAAGAAAACAACATTAACTACATTCGAGAGAAAGTGAAGCAAAGAAAATAACAAAAAAAAGAAGAGCAAATGCGAAACCTTTGGCAAGAAAATCAAATAACATTAAATGATGGGAGCGACAAAGCATAGTCCATAATAACAGATGGGTTTGTAAGTGCCGCTGAGCATGCAGCTTGTACTAAATGAACTAAAGTTAAAAGTAGGAGAGAAAATATTCCGACTGACCGTCGGCTAGAGCAGCGCACCTTTGAATTTCTGTCATACAATGTACAACTACTTCCCACCCACACCTGCTTAAATATGTATTTGCTAGTGACCGCTTACGGCGCTGATTTACTCAATTGAGTTAGTACAGAGTTTTTGCATTCACTTTGTCCTTTTTTTCTTTTTCTTTTTTTTGGTAACTCTCAACTAGACGACAAAGTTTTTGAAGTCAAATCATGAACACCGTCATATGACTTTCCATTTATTTTACCACACACACCCGCACTTATATACTGCCACACGATATTAGCCAATCCCGGCAGGTGATAGGATCGCCGTCATGCATGTGTGGGCAAACAAGTTTTTCCCATCAATGTCAAACTGTCTATCTCAAAAGCATATTAACAAAAACAAAAAAACAAACATTAAAAAAAATGCTTGCAAACAACTAACCAGAAAAGTCGAAAGTCCAACAGAAGTTGCCATATTGGCCGTTGCCGTTGCTGCTGCTGAGCATTTCAAACAAAAGTTCGTCGACAACAGCTCTGAGATTAGTGAGGTGATGTGAAGTTCAAGTTAAATCTCTGACACGCCAATGCGCTGATTGACATACTGGTTATACGTACATACATATGAACATGCATACATAAATGCATATTAGGGTGGAGCGAAAAAAAAAATATTTCGATTTCGAAAATCTGCAGGTGCGGAAAAATTTCATAGTATCTTCACATTTAACCGTGCTAAACCGTTTTCCGATCGGGTTTATATGTATTCGCAATCGCCGCAAGAGCCCTAACGGAGAAAAGTCTCTCAAGTTATGGTCCTTTTAAATATTTTTGAAAAGTTTTCTCCAGAAAGGTTTTGAGTAGGTAGTTTTGTAGCCCGTTAAATGTTAGTATAACAAAATACAATTTTGAAGTTTTTAAATTTTTTTGGTTTCTAATAGTTTTTAGCAAACGGTGGTACGAATTTTTCCCATAAAAAAAAAAAAAAATTGTCGATCATAGTTTGTATGGAATCTTAAATAAAAATATAAAATAAACATAATCTCAGAGACTTTTTTGCAACTTGAGGGCACATGGGGCGACATAAATATTATTCGATCAGAAAAAGGTTTAACATGCTCCAATGTGGATTATGTTACGCCACTTTTGCACATTATTAGAATTTCGAAATCGTAAAATTTATTTTTTTGCTCCACCCTTATGCACACCCACATGTGAAAACTGCCATAGAAAATACTTTGGCATAATTTGTAACATGTGTGCGGGCCGGTGTTTCAAAGGGCACTGGCCGTTGTCTGTTAACCACGGCTTGGCTGTGCTGATCTGACTGTCTGTGCCAAATCGAAAAGGAAATTACATTTTCGCTATGAAATTAGTTTTTTAGTTATAGCAGTGGGAAGGTCCTACGAGTTACTCAGAGTTGAAGAAGAGATATATTAAGGTGTTTGGCTGAGTATAGCCGGTGGCGAAAGCGATAAATTAATTATGAGCTTAAAGGTG